GTGCATTTACTCTTTCTAAACTATGATCTTACAATACAAATAAATTCAGAAGTATGAGAAATTTGTTGACAGCACACTTGAAATATTTAATGAGTATATAATTTCATATGTCCAGCTGTGTGCAGAAGTAGACTAGTTCAGCTAAATCAAACAAGTCTCCACAAATTAAAATAATTAAAAACTAATCAATAAAGTCTATACATGAAAGAGAACTTAAATTTTTATTTGATCATATAAAATTTGCCACATACCAACCTCTATATATCCTGTGCAATATTGCCAGATTGCATGAAGTTTTCAAAATCTTTTTCTTCAGTCTCAGTGAAATGAGAAAATTATAAAAACAATCACTATTTCTAAATAAGCTGTACAATATACTATCAAAAGGATCCAAACTATGAATCACTTCATAGAAACACAAATGGCTTTCACTGAATCCAGGAGCCTAAACCTAGAAACCACAATACTGCTATCCAGTACAAGAAGAGCTAGTAACAGGTAACTAGCCTATAAAATACTTACACAGGAATAGTTCATTATTGTGATTCCTTCATATTTGAGGAAGTCCTGACCTTTATTTTGCTCCATCCAGACAAGGGAACTCAGGTCTGCCTATTCATCCTTGCTGCTATAGCCAGGATGCTGCTGCAGAATGACACAGTCATCCACTGAGCAGAGGAGCTTCTATGACCATAGTGTGGCTTTAGTCCATAAATACAGACATGTGCCTTTATCCTGACCTGCTGAAACAGCACTTAAATTCTGATGTATCTCATATAACCAGCCTCTGTGGGATTTTCAAGGACAGGTCCAAATACTGGAATTGATATAAGGAACATGGATATAAGAGGTCTATTACAGAAGGAAGGATAAAAAAGAAGAGGGGGACAGAACAACCTAAGTACAAAATTACTACAAGATTTTTTGTAATACCAGTTGTGTTCCTTCAGTTCTGAGGTACATTACATATATTAAGTCCTTTGCCTTGATTACTAGTTCTGTTACTTTTTTCCTCTTCATTACAAAACCATAGTCCTGTCTCTTAGCAGAAGTTTTCCTTGGTTAATTAATTTCAAGAGTCCAGGAAGCTGTGTAGTCAGTATCACCTTCATAAGGTGTTAAAAAAAAATTAAGAATTCAATGGTCATCTTCAGCTTTCAGTTGCAAAGTCAGACTTACTTGCACCTCTGTCTTCAACAAGCATCTCCAGGATGCAAAAGCATTTTGACTAAAATAAGAGCCTCTCCAATATTATTTCACTTTTTCTTCATGGTTACTAAATTGAAGCTTCACTGTAAAATCACTCTGTCCTTAAAACAGAATCTATATCAGATTTGTTATCTGCTAGATCCTAGACTACCTATAACATCCATTTTCTTTCATTTTTCAGTTTCCCTCATTCCCCCTTTGCTAGTCAGTACAATTTCTGAAATAACTCACGCTCACTTACATAGTCCTGAAACTAGTTCTTTTTTTCTGACAGCTTCTTCACAAAAAACTATGTCCTAATCAGTTTATTTTCTCTCTCCCCTCAAATTTGTACTTTTTTTCAGGTTTCTTGCTTTAATTTTTTCCAGTAGCTTTCAGTTTTGAGGTATTTCTCTTTTCTTCTCCTCCCTTTAATCTTAGAAGCATGTGTGCTACAAGCCACTTTTTGCAATCAGCACAGGGGTCCAAATCTGTCCAGAGAGATACTTGTATTTCACATGGACTGAATCGTCCTGAGGGAGCACAGGAGAGCAGGAGCTTCAGCTAATGGTCTGAACACATTCAGTCCATCAACTTATCACATCTGCAGTCTGAAGGTTATTCTCACTTTGTCTCCAACACAGAATTTCACAGCAAGCAGAGTCCTTCATTACAGTACAAGGTAAGAAAATGCATTAATCACCTCACCCACTTTGGATCTCAAAGCAGTCCATGATGTAACAGCTGTTGGATGAACATGGCTTAGACTAACTTAGCCTTATACTAACTTAGTATGACTTATACTAACATACTGTGTATGTTATTACATACACAACTCAGCCAATAGCCCATTCAAGGAGATGGATTTACTAATTTAAAACCAAACAGAATTATTCCACTTGTCCACCCTATGGGTCCTTTAAATCATACACCTCCCCATCAGCCAATATTACTTGCCTACAATATTACAATGCATTTCCCTATTTATTTAAGTCTTCCCTGTTAGACTTTATTTCAACTCTGAGAGCACACTTGTCTAAGACAGTATGAATTGATCTATGACCTACAGATGGCACTTCTGAGAAAAATCAGAATAAAAAACAGGTTGTTTAAGGAGCTCTCTAGAAATGTAGCCATACTTATAACTGTTCCTTCTAATCCACAAATAGGTTCTGAAACTTCATCTCAGGTCACCACAAACTCCCAGTGATGACAAAGCCCTGCTGAACACCATAATGATCCAAATAAACAGATGTACAGGAAGGGTGCATCTTAAAAGTCCTCTGAAGTGAGTACAACACACAGAGAGAGTCTAGTACGCAGTGAAGAGACATAAGTCTCCGAACACTAGAAACAGTGGAACCTAGTGGCGTATGGGTTTGTATAAGGTCATTTGACATTCTAACTTAATTATATTAAGATTCAGCATAAAGAGAGCGTCATCTAAGAATTCATATAGGAGACAGCTGCTATGAATATCAAAGTTGGAAGACAAATCTTCATTGACTTTCATCTCTCTGAGAATCCACGGGGGAGAGAACTTTGACTGAAAGTGGCTCAAGTCTAAGATGAGAAAAATGTCTCCTGAAGCGTTCTCCACATCTCAGGAATCCATCAGGGTGTCCATTTGAGTGAGTCTTCAAGGTATAACAAGATTAAACTTATGCTACAAGCTTATGGTTTCACGTCTGCCTGGCCAACTGACCTTCCACACATTCTTGTGAGGGTTGGACCACTGCAACTCGTGCTTTTCCACTACCACTGATTGCATTTGGGAGCTAACACTGACAAAAGCAAAGTGGGATTAAGTATCTCTTATTTCCACAGAAAGCAGGCTGCAAGTAAGGAAGAGGACACATTCATCCATACACATCTAAGAGGAAAATCAATGATTTGGCAGCAATTCTAGGTTACCCCATTCTGTACTATTGCTGCACTGTTGTCTACTGGATTAAGCAAGGCAAAAGGATCCTTGCAGGTTAGACAACCCAGTAAGCAGAGCTTTAAACCAGAAAAAAACAGGATAAAATGACTCCTCGACAAGTAAGGAAGATGTGGATGGGGTAGGCAAGCCAAGGGCCTGGGTGGTAAGAATGAAAGAGACACAGCAATTCATGAAACAGAGCTGAAGTGGAGTCTCTCCAAACATAAGTACGTAAAGAAGGAGGTGCCTGCAGAACATCCTCATGGAGAAAGCTCCCAAAACTGTACTGAGGAATCAGCACACTTGGGTGCCTGTCTGAACTGTCTCTACACTGATGCACACAACATGGGAACAAACAGGAGGAGTTAGAACTCTGTGTGCAGTTTCTGGACTATGACCTCAATGGGATAATGGAGACATGGTAGGATAGCTCACAGGAATGTGGTGCTACCATGGATAGGTAAAGGCTGTTTAGTAAGGATAGGTTGACAAGGTGAGGAGGTGAATTGTTTTTTATGTGAAAGAACAGCTGGAAATTGTGGAGTTCTGCCTTGGGAACTTTGAGGAGATGGTAAATAGCTCATAGGTTAAGATTAACAGGCAGTCCAGCATGGGTACTACTGTAGTGGTGGTATATACTGCTATGTGCTATAGAGCACATAGTAGTAGTCTACTCTATGTAGTACATGCTATGGACTTTCTAGTTAGGAAGAAGTAGATTATGTACTCTTCAGACAACTGGAATAAGATTCATGTTCATAGACCATACTCCTTACACTGGAAATTCTAGCTACTGTGATGCGTTCTGCATGGAAGAACAATTTAATCTAGGGCTCAAGCAATGTAGAATTCTACAGTACCTTGATGATAAGTTCCCAAGGTGATCATGAAGCAAAAGAAAGAAAGGTGCCCTGCCTAACCTGGTATGTACAAATAATGAAGAACCGGGTGTGCAGGCGGAAGTTGCTGGCAGCCTTAGCTGAAGTTTGGTTGTAGACAAGTCAGTAGTAGTGTCCCCTCCTTAGCCTGAAATATTCTGTTAATAAACAAGATAATAAGTTTCTTGAAATCCAATATTCAGTGAAGAGCTACTGCAGTATTTATTCTGTTTCTGAAGTTTCTGAAGAGAGAAGATGCAAGAATCAAAAAAGCTAAGTTGTGTTCTATACAAAACACATATTGAGGAACACCTTTCAACAATCCAATACTCTGGAAATACAAAACTACCAATCAGTAAACCAGCCAGATATGCCAACAATTAACAACAGCCATACGGTGTAAAGTGCCATGCTTTCAGTTCATACCATTGTGGCTACAAAGTCTAATACACAAAAGCCAAAGGCTACTCCAACTAGAAGGCAAGAAAGGAGCACTTCATGAAAGTGCATTTGAAATATGACTTGATACTTCCACTGTAACAACAATGGTGCTACCAAATAACACTGGAGGATTTTTATTTCTTAGTATTTCCTAGTATTATACATAGAAAAATGTTATCTATAAGCTAGTCACTTTTAGTAAAAAAGTGCTGTCAGCGCTTGCAGGGAGATATGTGAAGTTTTTAAAATACAAAAAGAAGTTTTAATATGGAAAAGTATTAGTGGTGTAGAATGAAATGGAGCATGTACTGGTACAACTGCTTATATTATACCAACTTTTCCTTGTAATCTTTTAAACAAACTACAGAAGGAAGAATGGAGTTTTTCATCTACTGATACATAACAGAAAATGGAATGCTAGCAGAGCTTATGTTATCTAATTTCTGCATTAAGGTGGTTAACAATACATGTATTTGAATATATATATATTTTTTTTTTTCATTCAAACATAAGGTATTTCAAATCTCATATTGTCTTAGAAGGAAGCAAACTTACAAAGTAACACATACCTGATATACCCTGAGACTCCTTCTGTAGATCACAGTACCACAGTCTGTTCACTGGATCACAGCCTTCTCTGATAGACAGCAAGACATACCGACCATCATCAGACACCTGTAAGAAGACACAGAAAAATTAAAGATAATTCACCCTTTGGAAAAAAGAAGTCCAACTTGAAAAGTGAGTCCACACATGCGGAAAAATCTAGTGCTGCTGTTAAAAGAACATTACAAGCTATAACCACAATATAAATTACCAGATGAAGCTTCTCGGTTTGCGTTTGCACATGCATGTACCCATACAACAGAAATTCTGAAATAGTGTCTGCTAGTACAGAAAGTCATCCATTTATACTTCTTGCTACTCAGGCTTTGCAAACACACTATATTTCTTGACAAAGCTTTTGAAAGTGCAAGTCCGACAAGGAAAGGCAGAAAGTAACAAGAAGTCTTAAGAGTCTCCCTCTCCTGACTGAGCTGTTTTAAGCATATTTGAAAATTACCAAATTTTGATGCTTTATTAACAGAGCTCATAGAAAAGGCTGTTTACTGTCCACATTCTTATATGACCTTATCTAATGGAAATCTAAACCCCCAGTCACAAAATATGAATCTGGGTTCTGGAAATTTTCCACTTGGCACTATACACAGCTTCAAAACAATTCTTATATTGTAATTATTTCTTAGATATATTTCAGTTTATATTTGTGACATTTGTCATGCAAAATGTCTGTAGAATGAATTGTGCAAAATAAATTTCAGAAGAATTAGGTTCTAATTATACAGGTTCTGAATTCCTAATTCAGAGGAATTAGGTTCTAATTCCAACAGATCCACAACTTTAAAGACACAAGAAAGGGACCTAGTAGAACAGAAACAAATCTCAGTGTATGAAAGTTAATAAAACATGCCAACAACCAAACACTCTTTGAAAGAAAAACAATCCCCAAATGAGTGTTTCCACATCATATTTTTACAGGCATTTTGTTAAGATCTAATTATACCACAAAAAAAGTCCATACAACCAAAAGCTCACAATACAAATAGAAAAGAACACCTAAGAATCCCACTGTAGCCAAAAAAAACACTCCATTATATGAAATACCAAAGACATCTTTAACAGGGCACCCTGCACCTAGAAACAAATATATCCAGAAATGGAAACTAAGATTAGGTGATCTTTCTTGAAAGATACATCTTCAGTGGTTTAGGTAAGCAATAACTGCAGGTGTAAATTTTAATTAAGAAAATGATTGCAATAGGCTGCTTAAACATCTGTCCATACTTGTGAAAGCACCAAGTTCCCTTCATTTCCTCACCAATTAAAAAAACATAACAAATAATTTTAAGTTGTATATAGAAATACAGATTTCAATTATACTCCAGAATATGAAAGACAAAACTTTTAGTCACTGTCAGAACACGTACAAATTTATTATTTGATTATGTAAGTAAAACAGTTAAGAGAAGACTGATAACTTTACCCAAGAAAGAACAGAGATGTGCAGATTCTTGATGTTGTTGCAAGGGTAATTCAGAATCTCTGATGACAGCAAATCTGAGTATATCTAATTTTTCCTTCTATATTCCCAGATGGACTAGTTAAGAGTTGATAGAAGTTTATCTTTAATTTGAAGTAAGAACTCCCAAGACATCTTGCTGGTGGGGTATCAGTTAATGTGTGTCTCTATCACTAAAGCTATTCTTACACCAGTGAGTTCTACAACCTTAAGGATTTTGACAGAAACAGGACAAGACGGTTGACTGCAGCATGCTAAAATGCTCAGGATTGAACTGCAGATTTAGACATCTACATTGCAAAGTTACAGTTTGATGAGCAATCTTGGCAGCAACATCAGCTTATGCAGTCTCCCCCTCTAGCTCTCCCTACTGCTATAGCTGCTTGTGTCCATGTAAGTTCATTCCCCATGTCATGCCAGTACAAGCATCCACCATTTGTGAAGTGCACCAGTTCAGGGAACTGACACAACTGAAAAAATGGCATGTTCAACAACAACAAAAAAATCCAAACTTCCAAGAACCAGAGAAGAAGAAAGAATCCGAAAAACAAAACCCAAACAAACAAAACAAATAATCCAGAAGAGAAAGAAAAAGGAAAAATACTTAAACAATCCACAATAGCAAAAAAAGAAGAATAAAAGAAGCCCCTCTGCCAGATTAGTATCTCAATCAGTTCACTGTTCAGTTGCACAAATGGCCAAGCTAACACACAGCACCAAACAGCTGGAAACATGAATAACAGGGGTAGAGATTGCTTAATGCAGCTCAGATTGCAGCACTGATGAATGTGTAATCTCAGCCCAAATGCCACTGACCCTACACTGTAAACAGACAAGAGTCTGAGTTTCAGGATGGCAAAAAGAAATATGATTTACCAACTATCATTTGAATTATTCTTACATTGATACATCATCTTCATGAGCTGAGCCGCAATCCCTGCTCTTGGCTCACAAATTTATGAACTGAAATTTCATACTAGTACCTCACTCAAATCTCAGAATGCATTCATGGTTCAGCATAAGGAGGACAGCTGCAATGTCAGACCTGATTTCCTACATTTATGATGAAAAGGAAACATATCTCAAGAATTTCTGAGAGAGCTCTGGAATGCCAGTCAGTGCACACTTCTCTCATTAAAAAAAATTACTATAATTTCAAACAACATCCACTGGTAAAAGGTAAGCAGGCTATAAAGCAATTTCACCTCTTAAAACAACATTTAGTATCTGTCAAAACAGGATGGAAGAAATCTTGTAGCCTTTCAACTGGAGCTTTTGAAAACCTTCAGCATAACAATGATTTTACTGTCATAACACAGCACTAATCCCTAACTCAGCACCAGTAAAGGAAGGATTATTTCAAAGAGCTGATGTTGGTATCTAGCTTTTAGTTTCACTCCTACTGTCATTCAGTCAGTTGACAATTTTGAGTTTGTTAGATCTACTATTTATTAAAAATGTATTGTGACCATCATTACACCATACAAGCATACATAACAGTATCACTAAGACAGCTGTACTCCTAAGTACTATTTTATCTAGTCTTTCAAGCATCAAAACCTTTAAATCCTCCTTTATAGTAGAGCTCTGGTTTATAGTGGAGTGTTTTCTCTGGATTGTTTCTGCCTAGTGATTTCATTTCAATGTTATCTGTTCTCTTTATTTTGATGAACAGTAACCACTGCTAAGACAAATATAAACAGAAGAAGCAGTTTACCTGTAACTTCAATATATCAAAAAACACCAAAATAAGAAAAATTATTTGAAGTCTAAAAAGTAAAAAGAATCTTCTAACCACTCAAATCTCATCTTTGTTACAAAATACAACTAATTCATTATATAAGCCATATAAGAAACTGCAAACAGTTATGAGGATCCACAGCAAAACCAAAGTGAAATATTTTGTCTAGCAGCAGCAGCAGATTTCAGACCAAAAACTCATACATAATTGAACAATAACAAAAAAGAATGAACACAAGAAAATTGTTGGGTTTTTAGACTTTCTGTCTTTATGTATCGCTCAACTAAAATATCAATATGAGACATATTAGAGTGCTCTGTTTTCAAGTAATTTGCATACCAACAGTGAATATTAATGCAAGCTCTATGAACACTACCTGGACAGTCACCACTGCCAGATTCAGGATAAGGAAGAACTCTCTATAGTCAGTTCACAAATAGGGGCTCTTAGAGTACGTTGTATTCTATTAAGGCAACTATCTATACACATCATTCCTTTATAGACAATAAATTAAAAGTTTTACTACTTTTGCCCTTTATTATCAAGGTGGAAAAAACCTAATCACTGCATAATTTGTTTCTGCATAACAAGGCACTAAAAAAAAAAAATTAAAAAATTCAGTTATTAGATCCTATGCCTGTGTTGAGAAAAAGCTAAACTGTACAACTTGATCTGCACTGTCATGGCTATCTAAAGCATTTATGCATTTCCAATGAAGCACAGCAAATGAATAACGTTAAAAAACAAAAAACAAAAAAAAAAAACCCAAAAAAAAAAAAAAGCAAATCACAGACAGAAACAATGCTTTCCAACAGAGCTAAAAGGTCAAATTACTAACTGTAATGTATCCAGCCATGAAAGATCAGATCATCCAGAAAAAGAAAGATGTGCGGCAGGAAAGATGCAACTGTACAATGCATGGAACTAGAAACTCACTGCATCAATAAGCTGGATTTTAACACTGCTACAATTTTCACTATATGCTATGGATGTAACAGCTTAAAACCACCCAGAGTGATTTAATAGATTAAAAAAAAAAAACTTATTTAGGAATGTACCCAGTCACCAAAATAAAACAGATTAATGACAGCAGTTACTTCCTTAACATCAGATATATGCTACATGAAGACTTTTGCATAACACCTGTATATGACTCCACTAAGAAGAATTACTTGCAAGAAACCTTTCACTTGCTGCAGAAATTACCACTTTTGTTATTTATGAGTATTTTTAAGCTTTTTATCAGATGAACAAAGGAAAATATTAAGCATAAAAATCCATAAAGCACATTGGTTCTACAGAGATTAAAAAATTACTGTAAAATTTGCTGAAACATTTGGCAAGTAAAGAGCACTTACACTGTCTGAACAGCCTCAAGTGTCCTACCATCACAGATGTGCATATGCGCCCGTGCTGCAAAAATCTGCCTGCATGATGACAAAGAACCCCCACAGTAGTCTCCTAGCCTTTCAAATTCCACTTTTATTCTCTCACATTTATTAGAAAAATCAAAGCTATTTTCTTTCCTAGAATAGGAAACTCTTTTGTAAAGGGTTGTGGGTTTTTGTGGGGATTGTGGGGTGTGGTACTGGTTTGTTGTTTTCTTAACGAAGGGAACATACAGCTATGTTTGATATTATTTTTGCTGTGGTGCCAGAAAGTCACTGAAGCTTGCAAATAGCTCCTATCACATTTTATGTTCCTGCAGTCTTTTAAGATGTTGAGGACTGGGGCATGAACTCCCTCTTACAAAGGAACCTCTTGGGACTGTCTGCACAATCCAAGCCACCTGAAGCTGCTACTCTCAGGCTGTAAAGGCACTGTTTTGTTTTCTGTTTGCACGGTACTGGTTTCAGAATCAACCAGATTTCAGAAGCCCTAATGATGAGTGATCACAGGAACGCAAAATTTCAGGATGAGGTCCAACAGAATCCCCTTCCTACATTCTGAGGCATAGGCCTGACATACTTTATGCAGGATGTGGACATGGTTATATGCGAACAACATTCTGATGTGTCCTATCCACCCACTCCCCAGGTTAGAAAACTTGCTCTAGGCATTAATTCAAATCTCTTATTCCAGGTGGGTTTTTATTCTTGGATTTTAGATAAAATGTGCTGGTATAAAGAGCACTTCTATTCTGACTATATCCTTTTGAGCCTCTGCTAACTTTGGAGTTGAAGGAGCCATACCAAAGTCAGAGAATAGGGATTTTGACCCTAGATCATCACAGCAATATATACACACATATTTACAAGCATTCTCTTTCCTAAGTCTCGCACAGAACAAAATCAGTAGCCCTTTGGGGTGACAAACATCACACACAATTTTTACTGTGGCTTTCAGCTTGCTTTTGAGCAATGAAAGCACTGAAGCATCTGGAACCTGGCTATGTAAGGAGATTATCAGTTCCCATAGTACCATGTGCAGCCACGATTACCTGCTTCTTTCTTATGAGAAAAATTCTCTGGGCCTACTGCCAGTGCTGTAGGAAGATATTCATACTAGTCTTCTATTCAAGATTCAGCCTTGACTAAGACAGTCTAAGACTTTAGAAAAATTCCCAAAGCCCTGTTTTACCCAGCAGTGTGTCTTACTTGACTGAACTGGCAATGTTTTCAGCCCTCCATGCTGCTCACTCTTCCCCTGTGGATGCTTCTATGTTGCTGTAGTGAAACCACTATAGCCAGAACACATCTGGCACAGCCTACTCCTCTGTGCTCAGAATTTCATGTATAAGATCACCTCCCTGCTTTATAACCACTGATGTTAACTGACAGCTCTAAATATAAAATCAAGAATTTTTAAAAAATTGTCAATTCAGAGACAGTGCACAGTTCTTATTAGAAAACATGAAAAAGTGTAGTTATTTTACTGCTGGCAGAATTGGGATAGGAGGGTTCCTCTCACCCACTCCTTTCTGCTCTGTTTACTTTCCTGCTAGTACCACAGGGACTTCTCACACTACCAACTGTGAAAGACTGTTATGTAACTTATTGTTTAACTTTGAGAATAACAGTCTGTCTGTGAAAGAGAGGTATGTTCAGTCAGTCTGGAGAAGAAGCAAGAAAATGACACTTAAACAGAGAAGCATGGGAAGCTCCCGTTTTCCCGGAGTACCTATGACATTGCCAAGGTTTTAAAAATCTTCATACCAGACTGCCCTCTGCTGGGCTGTAATGCAATTAACTGTTATCCCTGCTCTTCACAACTCTCCCACCATTCTAGAATCTGTACCAGAAATGTTTATGCTTTTTCTAGGCTATGAATGAAAAGATTTGATAGCCTCTTTTTCAAAGCTGACATATCTGACTAAGAAAAACCAGATTTTTTCCTCAGAAACAACCCATTCAACTGAAGAGCTGGAAATGCATCTGTATTTCTCTGCCAACATCATTTTCAGCACCACAGATTTTGTTTAAATCACAGCATGCTTGGGGGTGGTGTTGAATGTATAATAAGGAAAAGAACCCTGAAGTTATTTGCTTGCATATTGCCTTGTAAATATATTAAGCTGACAAAATTTTACACAACCCTCTTTTGTCCTTATCAATGACCTAGTTTCCTATCTCCACTGAGAATACACACTACTCCAACTCCCTACAGCACACCTGATATTATTTTTTCTGAAGTATCATGGCAACATTATTAATTTTGCAGTCTCTGAAGGATCTCCTTGCCAGGTGCTTTTCACTTGCAAGTGAAGTATTTCTCTTCCTTGAATGTAGTTGCAAGACCTGCAAATTCTGTTCAAACCTATGTACGAAAGTTTAACTCTCGCCCTACCAGAGAGAAACGTTTGGTACTTAAAACTAGAACACTCACACCACAATTCAACTGTTTTCACTGAAGTTTATGTAAAACATAATGTCTCTAGTTAGCAGAACTAGCAAAGCTGGTAAAATACAAACATTTTTTTATTTATTTGACATGTACATGTATATAAACACATGAAAGCATGCATTTTATAACATGTTGAGCTCTGCAAAGTTGTATTTTAAGATCTACAGCAGCATCTTCGCACCAAGGAAGTATATTCAGGACAGCACCAAACAGCATGATATTTTAATTTTTCCCCCACTACTTTGTGGTCTTCCACTTTCTTAAACACTTAGAAAAGCTGACCAGAAAATTTGTTGGAATGGCCTGAAAAGAAGATTTGTGACACATTGTACAAGGATGAAACCACATTTTGCAATTGCACTGTTTTGGTTTGGGTTTTGTTGGGTTTTTTAAATTGCAGAATATTTTTCTCCTGACCATTAAAAGAACCTTTCTTTTCTGGCAACCTACAGTAAAGACACCCCTAACATTTTCATGGGTTAATGTGTTGAAAAGTGACACAAACTGATGATCACATTTTTCAAGAGAGGTTCTCGCAGAGAAAAGTATCTGCAGGAACTGCGTACACCAAACCAGGCTAAAACCATTTCATATTCATCAAAAGTGTCAGATAAAAAAAGAGACCAATATAGAAACAAAATGTACTGATCAAACGTAGTAGGCAGGAGAGTACAGAGTATTACAAGTATTCATCCACAGGGGAAACGTCAGTTCCCTGATAAACAGAAAGACCATCACTACATTCCAGCAGCACTTCAAGTAAGTGCACTCAACTGCACATTGCTAAATCTAATATGGGGAATAAAACACATTAATTACAAAAGGTTTACTGGGATTTTGCACTATATAGTAGTAGTTCCACAAAGTAAGCTTAGGAAATCAATTCAATTTCAAATAACACAGTCTGTACCATATGTGTGTTGATAAAACTTGTAGGAAAATTTAGAGTTCTCCAATTATACACGGAGTATTAACAGATTTTGACCTGTATATCTCCATTCCTCAATTATGTAGAATAGATATATTTCTTTTTAAGGGAAGACATGCAAAGTTAAATATAACCAAATTAATATACAGTAGGGAATATCCAGACACGCTGGCTATTAGAATAAGCTTTTTGTGCAGGAAGTAGAAGCTGGGGCTAAACACTGACCAAGAAGAAACAAGAACAGCGACACATTGTCCATTAAATGATCTTCTCTGTCTTGGAATATGTATCAGACAGAATGACCTCAGTGAAGAAAAAGGGTATATGATTGTCTCACTGCAGGCTGGAGGACTGATTTAAAGCAAATTAGGCAGTCTTATTTTCAGGAATTCTTAATCAATGATTCTTAGTTCAATTGTCAACTCTACAACACTAACAAAAATCAAAAAATCAAAAAAAAAAAAAGTTTTCAAATGAATATCCACTATCAGTTGTTAGATTCTGAAAAACAGAATATGATAACGGTAAAGCGCAGGATGTTACCATACCTCAGCTCCCCCCATCCATTTTGGTTCATCAGGAAATTCAGCACATAGGATATCTTCTGACTGGTTAGTTCCTAATACGTGATAATACAGCTTTTGATGCAGATTAGTGGAGGTCTCAGTGCCTAGTAAAATGCAGATATTTAAACCAGTAAGTTCTCAAAGAAATGCAACAACCATATGAAAGCCTTAGAAACTTGTGTATCCTTTTGTATAAAAAAGAGAAATTCAGAAGAGAGAACTAGGAATGTTCCAAGCTACAACCATTCCCCTCCAAACAAACACCATCCTACTAAACAAGATAAAACTTCATGCTGGAAACCTGCTTAAAAGTAACCCTTTCCTTTCATTGTTGGCAATATCATTTCAAGCTTTGCTTTCTAGAAATAAAAGCAAGCAAAGCGAAGAAAAACAAGAATTTCTGCCACCCTCCAATGGTATTTTCATTGCCATTTCACCCAGAGCAAGTAAGGGGAGATTTACTGCTAATTAACATTCCTAGAAACCTTCATACTTCCATTTGCTGAAAATATAGAAGTGATGTCTTTTAAAGCACTGTATGAGGCACCACTTGATTTAATTTTTTAAAAAAAAATCATTCTTGCAACATTTTCCAGCACTTCAGCTTTTGAACTACAAACAGGAGGTTAAAAAAAAACCTCAACAAAACAAGGTTGATGTCTATCTTGCAAGTCTGGCAAAATTACAGGCTTCAAAAGCAAATACAGAGGCAAAATTCAGGCTCTTTCCTGTTTAATGAAGAGCACATCTCGAGAAGAAACTTTTCAGTAGCTCTGCCTTACAATAGAAGCTGCTAAATTCCTTTCCCAGTGAGGCTCCTCCACAATTTATCCCACTTTGTGCAGTGCTCCTTGAATTTTGCTAGCATAAACATTTCGTTTTGCTTTGCTGTGAACCGCACATGAATTAATCTGGTTGAACAAAAAAAACCTTATGCCTCACATTGCTACTCATCAAAGTCTCCTAAAACAGTTTATCTATGCCCACACAAATGCTTAAGGCGAAAGATCTAAGTAAGCTTCCACCAGACATCAAATTCTAGCCAGCACCACCAACAATATGGAACTTAAGTAAATCATCCCAGAGAAAAATGGAGCAGCAAACTTTCATGAGAAAAAGAGGGGCAGGTAGACAAAAAGTGACTCACACTAACTGAACATAGGTTTGGTGATACAAGCCATAATTTCATCTCTAATTGCACAACCAATACAGCCACTTATCTCAATATAGATTTGTAGAACTAATTATTTCTTGCACCAATTCACTGCAAAAGTGATTTTGCTTCCACATAGTATGCAATCAGAATGGTCATACCTACCATCACTTTTCCCATCTTGTTTTGGGTAGCAGTTATAGAACATGCCTTTTCCATCATGGGTCCATGCCATGCAACTGAATTTAACTCTCTCCAGTGTATCTGGGAGATCCTCATGACCTTCTACTTTCATAAACTTGATAGTAATCCAATCAGAGCCACTAGAACTCAGGCCATATGCAAAGTATTCACCATCTTCACTGAATGCGTAACCTAGGAAAAAGGAAACAAACGAAATGAAGAGAGATTAAATTGGGATGCTAGTTAAAGAAACTGTTCACCAAACACTAAGAGAAGGTTTATTTTCTAAAAACAGTGCAAGACACTACATCTGTTATCACTTGAGATTCACACCATTTTCCAGTCTCTGTGGACTTCTTAATTCACAGATCCAAGTTTAAGCACAGTAAGTGTATCATGTTCAGTAACACAACTTATGCCCGAACAATTATGGTTTGAATCATATTTATTCTACTGCCCTGAGCTTGGCAGGAAGAGCCAGAAAATGAAAATGAACACAGGTAGAGAACTTGAGTGAAAGTTTAAGGAAGAAACAGTACCAAAGAAGCTAAAAAAGATGCAAGCTATCTGAAAGTACCCTGAAATAGTGTAAATACCACTTAAAAATGGAGTCACTGAAAACTAGACCCTTTAAAACCCTGAAAACTGAAGTAACTGGGAAACTTTACCACATTAGCATGCAAATGGTTAATTACCAGTATTCTCAGCTAAAACCTGTGATATATATTTCATTTTATCCAAACAGTGATGAATAAAAAGCTTCCGTTGTAGATGATGAAGATCAAATTCATGCTTGCAAATCGAGTCAAGCGAAGAGACTGAAACGGAATTATCATAGGCCTGTACAGACCTGAAAGTAGCTACCAAAAAATGATCTAAGAAAAAGTTTAATTTCATAATCATGATAGTTTTGAGAGGCACCACTGTGCCACATCAATATATTCTCTCTCATAAGAATGTAAGAGTGGCAATTCTGGTTCAGAACAAAATTCCACCTAGTTGTCCTCAGGAGTAACCACAATGTGATACCTACACAAGTAGGAACAACCACGTAATCATGGAATGGTTTGGTTGGAAAGGATCTTAAAAATCACCTAGTTCTTACCCTCCTGTTGTAGACAGGGACACCTTCCACCATACAAAGGCTGCTCAAAGCTCTGTCTAACCTGGCCTTGAAACATTTTCAGGGATTGGACATCCACAACTTCTCTGGGCAACCTGTTCCAGTGCCTCACCCTTCACAGTAAAGAATTTTTTGTAATATCTAATCTAAACCTATTGTCTTTCAATTTAAAACCATTCTCCCTTGTCCTATCACTACATACCCTTGTAAAAAGTCCCTCTCCAGCTTTCTTGTAGGCTCCCTTTAAGTACAGGGAAGTTACTATAGGGTCATTCCATAGCTTTCTCTTTTCCAGGCTGAATAATCTCAACTCTCTCAGTCCTTTGTCATAGGTGAGGTGCTTCAGCCCCTCTAATCTTTTCACAGACTCCTCTGGACTCCCTCCAACAGGTCCATGTCTTTCCTAGAATGGGGGCCCAGATTTGGATGCAGTACTCCAGGCAGTCTCACAGGAGCCCAATGGAGAGGCAGAATCCCGTCCCTCGCCCTGCTGGCCATGCTGCTTTGGACACAGCCCAGGATTAAATCAGCTTTCTGGGCTGCAAGCTCACATTGCTGGCTCATGTCCAGCCTCTCACCCACCAGGACTCCTAAGTCCTTGTTAGCAAGGACACTCTCAATCTCTTCATTCCCCAGCCTGTGCTGATACTGTGCAATGCAAGCACAAGAACAACATGCAGGAATAAATGCAAGAACAATGCAAGCACACGTAATATTTCCCTCAAATATTCTTATCATCTCAAACCATTTTCAGTTTAGCAGAATTGTTTCCAATCAGTAGATGGCTAATACTCCTGAATGTTTCCTTTCCCATTAATTATGTGCAGCTTGCCTTTTTCCACCACCAACATCCACTGATAAGGGGTTATACAGATCTGCTTCTTGCAGCATGAACCATTACCTTCTTCTGTTTGCTTGGGACCTGACTCCCACTGCCTTCATTTGATATTTCCTCATTCTTGTAATAAAAAAATAAATTCTTATTTCTTCTCTCCATTCTATTGTGTACCACAAACGGTTCTGCAGACCTCTAATATCCTGCTAAATTGTCTTATTTTGAAAGCTGATTAATCCAGGCATACTCAGTTTTTCCTTTGATTGTTCCTATTGCCCTCCTCAAACCTGTATTTCAGAGCCCCTTTTGAGGTGAGGAGACTGGGACTAAATTTAATGTTCAGTGGTACAGTATAATCTCCTGAGTTGCTAATGTAATGGTGTCTCCTTGTTTTGTTCTCTATTTCATAGAATCACAGAATCATAAAGGCTGGAAAAGACCTCCAAGAGTTCAACCTTTGACTGATCACCACCTTGTCAACTAAATCTCAGTGCTGAGTGCCACACTGAGTTTTTCTTGAACACTTCCAAGGAGAAATTTCTTCCTGATGAATAAATTGGTATTTGATATAATTGTTCAGCTTCTACCAAGAACCAAATTGACATTTTCATGGAATTATACATTACACTCCAAGCATTGTTCCCAAGAGGTCATCATGAACTCAAGAGTTCACTCCATCCATTCCTCCATAAATGAGGTTAGGATTGTTTGTCCCCTGTGCATCACTTAATTTATCTGCACAAATACTTTTACCTGTTAATTTATTGTCCATTTATTATTACTAAGGTCTCCCTGCACCTCTTCAGTCATTCTTCAGCCAGGAGTAACTTTGTACTGTCACCAAATTCAGCTACCTCACTGCTCACTCCTTTTTCTAGTATGTTCAGTATACGAACACTGAAAATCCTAGCACAGTCCCTGACAGGGCTTTACTGGTGATTTCCACTTGACAGCCCATCAGTTCTTCCTTTCCCTGCCCTTAAATCAATTAATAATCAAAACCAGGAGTATTCTCTCTTGTTACACAGCTGTTAGATACACAGAGATTACATGAATGCAATACACACAGATTAAGGCAGAACTTCACCATAAAAAGGCCATATTGATTCTTCTCAGCCAGGTCACTTTTAGAGAAACATTCACTAATTCTGATGGCTGTTTTTATTAACTGTCCTTGAACAGACTTAGAGGACTTTTAGGTCCAAGAGTCTGCTTCTAAAAATGAGCAAGTAGGGACAGTGAAAATTGACAGCTAAGAGAAGTTACAGCCCTAGTAAACACAAACAATCTTATGATCATAGAAGTTAATGCTATGTTCCTTCACAGTCTCTAACTTGTTGGCTTGTGTTAAAGCTGTAAAATACAATTTTAAGATAACTAATCAAGATAAATACATAAACTTTTTCCTTGCTAGGGACAGCGTCAAGAGCTGCTCATATTTCATTGGAAGCCTGTTACAGAGTTGTGAAAAAAAGTATTGGGAAACTGAACCAAGTTTATTGTGGATACAGTGTAGATTTAGAAGTGTTCTTCTGACACACAGTACAAATCCACATAAGGCTATTGTAATTACTTAAGATTAAATTTTCAACTTCTGCTGAAGACTGAGACTTACTCAGCAGGAACTGCTGTCTCACTAACCTCGTAAGGCCACGGTGCCATCATCAGAAAGCTTATTTGGATCAAGAAAAACTTTGGCATCAGCATCTAAGGAATCTTGTACATATAAAACTCGCTGATTCTGGAGCCCAGTATTGTAGAAGTGAAAATACCTAAAAAGAACACAAGAGGGAAAAATTGAGTAGGAAGAACTCTGATTGTCAGTTAGGCAAACACAAAGAACTTGTATGAAGTTATCATGAAGTGAATAAAAGACAGATGAATAGGTTAGGGAAACGCAAGTTTCACAGCAGAGTAGGAGTCATGGCTAGGATGCATCCAAAATATCCTTTAAAAATAAAAGCTGCATTTGCCACAGTACATTTCAAAGAATTCTAAGTATACTATAAACTCCACATAACTGTCTATGTTATCACTGGCAGCTGCAGCATTTTTCTGTTACAAGTACTGGCACAGGTTCCCATCCCTTATGTTCTCAGCTTCGTCATTCATGCAGCTGCTTTCATTCCATACCAGGTGACAGACTTATTTTCAAATCAAACAGAACCAAAACTGTTTGAATATCCCTACAAATGTGTGTTTGAAAAAGTTGTAGGAACAGACAAATACAGAGCTGTCTTTAGTGAGTGTACTCTTCACATCGTAAGACACTACAGAGCTCACAGAAATTAACACCCATTTTCAAGTAAGTGCTTTACTACACAAACTCGTGACTTAAAGAACCAGGCAGCAGCTTCACCTGGGGGAACAGGAGAATTTACAGAGCAACATTCAAATCTAAATATAAGTTCATATATTCCCTAAGACTGACAAGTACTTGGCTACAAACATGGGAACTTGGTAAAGCCAGAAGAGGAAAATATACTCACAAAGGCCTGGTTAACAACATCAGCTAGTAATATGTTCAAGTAATAACAGTAATGTTCAGCAAGTGCAAAACTGGAAGATTAAAAGAAGTAGAAGAAAAAGAAAAGTAATTTTCTATTTGATCAGCCATTTTCTTGCCAATTTCACCTCTGCAATGCTGAGCAACAAGCTGGGAAGCAAAGGTCAAGCAATGAGACAGACACAGCACCTCCCTGGGCACCCTTCCTTTCTGCAGACTCTACAGAACAACTCTTTGGATACTGTCCTTTAGCAGCTATTCTTCATCAGAAAACCAGAGCAGTCAAATGTAAGGATTTCTAAGTGTCACGAGAAGTTCAGAAAATTCTTCAAATAGAATAGTTCCTTACCCCACACCTTACTGAGTGTTATTTGACTTGGCACAGACCTCTTGATCGCCTCAAACACCACAACATAGGGCTTTTCTATTCTATTTGTATTATATTTGAACCACTCCAATTTAAATCCAGCACATGCCAAGAAATTGAGTGCCACTCAGAAAGACTAAAAAGACATCTATTAAAGTCGAAGTAAAGTGTCATGAATTACAAGCACATTAGGCTCCTGGCACAAATGTTCTTCCTGGAGGATAGTCAGCTGCATTAAATTAAGAATTTGTATCTGCTAGCAGAGACTGTATTTATCACTGCCATAAGACCTCCTGCAACCTTAAGCCTTAACAGCACTGAAGGTAACAACACCCAGACACGTTTGCACTGCACAGGGAGAACAGGTCAGAGAATCCAAAGCAGTCACTGACCAGACCTGTTCACCTGCTACATCTGCATGAGCATCACATACAAACTAACAAGCTGTGCCTGACTCAGTAAGGCATACTTCGCCAGATGCAGCACAATCCTAAACAGCTCCACTGCTTCTGGGCTTAAACCTCACACCTCTACACACTGTCATGGATATGGCACAACTGGCATGTTGTGCCATATCCATGACAATTAAAATCCACATCAAATCCACCAACAGCTTGGTTCATATGGTATATGAACCCATATGGTATATGGGTTCACTCTCTACCATACACCTTCACCAAACCCCACACAGTACAGAATTTCCCTCCCTTAGTAGTGTCAGTGCCTTCTTCACAACACAGATCACGAAAACAAATCCCTCTCAATATCTGTGTAGAAATATTAAGGTAACAAGATATTCTCTCTTTCTCATTATCTGTGGATGGTGGGGAACACATACATGGCATACCTGAGTGCCCGCTCAACAAGGACAAAAATTGAAAATATTGAAAAAGATTATCTGTGTTTGCCATGATTAAAAGTGGCTGGTTGTTTTCACTACCTCTTTTCCAACTGCTAAAACAATCTTTAGATGTAGTTAAGTCCCTTTACTCCCTTTCCCTAGAAGCTAGCTAGTGTTTCTAAAAGAGGTCACATTAAATTCAGCAGCTGCAGTCTCCAGATCTTAGGTAAGACACAGAAACACCACCTCTTCATTTAGCCTAGGGATACGAGTAGATTACTCACTGGAATATAGCAGGATATCTTTGTTTCTAAGAAAACACTTGCTTTAAGTCCTCCAAATGATTTTTCACATATACCCTGCAGCTACAGGAACAGTTTTTCACAAGGGAATTCCTACTGCTTTTCACTGGCTATGACTAAACAAAAAAAGCCTACCAGCTGCTCAAAGAATGACCAATGTAAGAGTAGTGCTCTAGCAAATATGTGAAACAGAACACACATGACAGGCTTATGCTGTTTGCAGACAATGTGCCTTTAACTATACTGACAGTAACCAAGCCTTTCTGAAAGGAACTCCTCTAAGCCTTACTTTTACAAAAATTATTCTACAAAATCATCTGGGTTCTGATAAACTCACAAATTCTTCTTATAAAAGAAAAGCCAACAAAAGAAGATAATATGATTGGGAACTGGAGAGAGTGAAACACCTTGTGCTCTTCATCATGCAACCTCACATTAACATTGGCCTAGTTTTCTTCACAACTATTAAAAAAAATACAAATATAATTTGTTTGCCTAATTAATAGTTGCTTCTGACTTGCTTCACATTCATCACCACCTCAAAAGACATTCCTTACATACCTTTTTCCTTTCTTGAAGTGGCAGCTGTACTTAGGATAATCATAAAGTTCAGTCATTCGTTCCTTGAACAGTCCTCTAACAGGACACTGCTCAAGAAAGGGTACTGTGAGCTTGTTCTGAGCTTCCACAAATGCCTGAAAGAAAACAATCAAAAAAATATAAACTGAAGCAGAAATTCCCATTTTCTACAGAAAACATTCTCAGATGCAATGCATCACAGACATCTTTCCACCATATAGATTACACAATGTCACACATGAATAATCCAACATGCTTATTTGCATTATGCCACAATTCTTTAATAGGACTCAACTTGTATCTTGAATAATGACTCTCCAGGTCATACACTGGGGTAACCAGCCAAGAGACAAGACAGTCCTAAAAAAACAAAACCCAAAACAAATCCCCAACAACCAAAGAAACTCTAAACAAATAAAAACCCAAACAAACAAACAGCTGCCCTTAACTGGTCCAACCAAGCATACATAAGGGAAAAAAAAACTTAATGCTTCTCTTCAGTATGATACCACCACCTTGAACATTCGAACTGGCCAAGAAAAATGGGGGCAAGATAAGCATGGGTTTAGTTTTAAAATTTTTAAAAATACCAAGTACTTTAGACTTTCACAGAACCATAGAATGGTTTGGGTAGGAAAGGTCCTTGAAGATCATTTAGTTCAATGCCCCTGCTATAGTCTGGGACATTTGCCAGTAAACCAGGTTGCTCAAAGCCCCATTCAACTTTTCCCAATTAAAACACAGGGGCAAAATAATGGCATTTTGGTGCCATGAGATATCACATGAACTTTGTTCATTATAAAAGTTTTCAAAATGTATTTGCAGTTGCTCAAAAGCAGAGTACCAACGCATCTGGTCTATAAGAGACAAGCATGTGAAAGCAGCCATTCCCATGCAAAGAAAGGTTACCTTTGTCTCTTCACTATCAGGATCTTCAAGCCAGCAGTATGGATCGCTGATTTTACATCCATGGTAATCCAACACCTGAATTTATAAAAGACAGTAATTTAAAAAAAGACATACACACAAGCAAACTCTATCCATCAAGGAACAATAGTCAGCATGATGAAGGGCATCTGGAGTTTCACAAAAGCATACAGTGCTAAGGAGCAAAGACAGAACCAACACATTGCTCAAAGGTAGGTCACTAGTATTACCAATCTTTGGTGATGGCACCACAGCAGCACAATAATTCTCAGAAAAAAAACACAGAGCACCAGAAAAATGGTGAAATGCACATAAATTCCTTCCACGAGATAGATTAGTAAGCAAAAAAGAAACCCCACCAACCAAACCGAGACCCTTAAAGTTTTCAAGCCAAATTATAAAACCCAATTACTCGATGTATTCAAAGCATGGTTCCTGGTTACACAAACGGTCTCTGGTTTAGCCCTCCCTACTGCTGTTGCCCACAAATATGTGCATAATGTGTAAATATATAAATCGTAATTTAAAAAAATCAAAAGCCCATCTCCGAAACAACAAACAAAACAAATAAACCACAAAAGATTAATCCACGTGGTTGAATTTACCTGCTTCCTTCCTCCAATACTTTAAATAAGACTAGATACCTGCTACTAGGGTTTGCAGACAGTCAAATAGGAAAATAAATACTTCAGGATTTTTTCCAGCTTTGGCTCATATCGGCAAACAGTTTGGTATAAATGCAATGTAGATCTTTCCTGGCCGGTGCACAATGCACAGTGGTTTGAGGAAGGGAAAGAAAATCGAACCCACTTTAGCCAAACTTACACTGTAATCCCTTGTGTATCCAGATACAGTGGAAATACAAGAAGATGAGACTATGTTACAGATGTGCCATCCTATATAAATAGACTATTTGTTCCTCTGCTGACGCTGCTGCAGCCCAGCCGGAGGCCTGGGTTTCCCTGGCACACGCACCGGTACCGAAGCCCCGGGATGCGCCGTGCGGCCGCTGCTCCCGCACCCCCGGTCCCGCCGCCCGCCCCGGGCCGGCTCCGGCCCCGCGGCCCCGCACACGCGGGACGTGCCCGGAGGCACCGGCGCGCGGGCCCCAATCCCGCCCTGACAAGCGCCGGCACCGCCGCGGGCCCCGGGAGCGACAAACCCGAGACCCTCTGCAGGGAGCACGCCGGGCGTTCCGCGGCCGCAGCCGAACAAAGCCCCGAGAGCCGAGGCGGCCCCGCGGGGAATGGCGAGCCGGGTGTCCCGCGCCCGGGCCCGGCGGCCGCCGCACGCCGGGTGCTGTCCCGGCCAGCGCCCTACTCACGGCGGTCTCGTCGCGGTACACCTCGGGGTACTGGAAGGCCGGCATGGTGGGCTGCGGCGGAGAGGGCCAGGAAGCAGAGGAGGCGGAGGAGGAAGAGGAGGAGGAGGAAGCGAGGCGCGGAGGCGGCCGCGGCGCTGGGGCCGTGTTTCGGGTCCTGGCAGCCGCCGGCAGCAGGCGCGCAGCGCGGCACAGGCGCAGCGCCGCAGCCGCCATACGGCCGCCCCCTGCCGGCGCAGCGCGCCGCCCGCGCAGCGCCCCCTGCCGGCTCCCGCCGCGCGCCATGGCGGCGGCTGAGGGGACGGCCCCGCCATTGCAGTCCCGCCGCCCTTGGTCTCTGCTCCCCCGTCCCGGTCACCGTGCTCCGGCGTGGCTGTGTACCCAGCTCCACCTGGCTTTCATCCTCCTTATAGTAAACCTTTGCAAGAAAAAAAAAAAAAAAAAAAAAAAAAAAAAAAAAAAATCGCAGGTTTTCATTTTTTTCCCACTCGACTCCCCAGCTTTGGCCTGCGGTGAGGGAAGGGGCTGGGGTCTGGCTTGCAGAGATCCGAAATCAGAGCTGATTCCTAGGTGGAGTTGATTCTTTGGTTCTAATTATGTGACTCAGGCAGCTCAAACACAGGTTACAGAATCACAGAATCGATTAGGTTGGAAAAGACTTCTGAGATGATCAACCTGTTACAGAAGACCACCTTGTCAAGAAAAGCATGGCACTATGTGCCAATCGTTTCCTTAAAAAACTTTAGGAATTGAGACTCTACCACCTCTCTGGGCAGTCCATTCCAATGTCTAATCACCCCTCCTGTGAAGAAATTCCTCCAGATGTCCAGCCTAAACCTACACTAGTGCAGCTTAAGTCTGTGTCCTCGCATCCTGTCACTGGTTGCCTGGGAGAAGAGACCGGCCCTCACCTGGGTAGAACCTCTTTTCAGGGAGTTGTGAAGAGTGATAAGGTCACCCCTGAGCCTTCTCTTCTCCAGGCTAAACCTGGCTTGGTCCGCTCAAACCTTTAGTGGTTTCCATCAAACATACTTCTGTAAGTTTCCAGTGACTCCCCTTCACTCTAAAAGTGAAGGACAAGTTGGCTGCCTGGTCCCAGTGAAGATGGCCACTCCAGAACACCAGCCCAGCTGGCTGGTGCTTGTCACCCTCACCCCCAGAGTCATGGTGTGTAGTCCCACGCCAGCTCCCACCCTGGCCTGTGCAGCCAGTCTGGATGAAAGGGCTCCCAGTAAAGGTGTTTCAAGTGGATGACTTCAGGCTCATCCATGGGGTGTTTATTTTACAATAGGATTTCCTGGGTCAGAAAACCTGCAAACATTTTTCCTCCAGGGAGAGACCAGGTGTACTCCTCCTGCACAAAGGAGGAGACAGGAGCCAGCTTGGCAACATGGCTGAACTGCTTTTGTTCGAAATGAAGCTGCTGCCCACAGCCTTTGCCAAGCTGTCCTGTCAGCCTGGGGAGGACTTCACTGCAGCTCTTCATCCAGGGTAAACTCTTGTGTGTGTGTGTGTGTGTGTGTGTGTGTGGTTATTGGCACCAGCTGGATACATGGACGTTTGTGTGTGGCATTTAAAGGTCTGGTAAGCCCAAAGAGTGCTCATGGTTCTTAATAAAGTAACATTAATTAATAATTAATAAATGACTAAAACATTTTGGAAATGGCATCAAACCTTTATAGTTACCAGCTCAGAACTGTGTCTTGATTGCTTCCCCTTAATGGAAAGAGTTACCATCTCTAATTGGACATCCTGTGTAGAGGCTAAGGTTTGTGTACATATGAAATATGCCAGCCCCATAATGGTCACTGTTACTAAGTGACATAACTGTCCTCATCATCTTTGCTTACATCCTAAACAACAGCTATGTGGCTTCTTGTCTCTCACCCTTTCTCTTTCCATCATTTTTCCTTCTTACCTTGTTTCTTTGTTAATCTTCTCCCTTTGCAAGACAGTAGAACAGATGCTGGCTACAACTATACCTTTTGCTCAAGAACATGCCACCAACAAGGATGTTGATGGCAATGCCTTGACACGCCCAACGCTGATAAAAGCTTGCAAATTGTCTGAGCAACTTGCTTAGGTACATACTGGCAAGCCAAAGGTGTTTCTGTCTAAAGCTTCCCAGAAAGAATTGTATATGCACACAAATTTGCATAATGGGGAGAATTATTAGCTTAATACCTCTGTCAAGTGTTCAGCTTGCCTGTGTGCAACAAAAACAAGCTGTATGTCCACAGTTTGTCTGGGAGTTTTAGGCAGCTTACTGCAAATTTGTTTTGTAGACAGTAGAGGCTGTGCATTTGATTCAGAGCTGCAGTTTTCCTCGTGAAAATGTCTTTTTCAGCCTGAAGGTATTGTCTGCAATTAATGTATTTATGTTTATCCAGAATGCCTGACTGTTTAGCAGCTCAGGCAAGGTTATCTGTCATATATCTGACTGAACAGCCGTACATCTCAATATCCTGAGCATTTCCACAATGTCTTCGAAGATCAGCTTCATGCTGTAAAAGCAGCCAGTCTGAGTTGTAGTGGAAGTTTTGGGCAGCTGTGCTTCTTCCACGCAGCTGGAGCTCCCTGAGCTGGCGGGAGAGGGCAGCCTGGCCACGCGGGCGCTCCGCGGCTCCACACGGCAGCGCCCGGAGTTCCTCGGGCTCCAGCAGCGCTCTCGGAGCAGGGCAGGGTCATTCCTGAACGGGCTGGCAAGCATCCAGTAAGCTCAGCAATTATCCATCACAATACCTTTCAATTCATCCTGGATACAGGATGAAGGTGGGAATATACAAAAAACACCCAAGTACATAGCGGTCCAAGGTAAGATCTTTGGACCTGTAATTTTACAAGCAGTAATTTTCTTTCAAAGATGAGCACCAGGGACTGAAATTTCTCTGTACTGTAAATTTCTCTTGTGCTTTTTGGGGGTACTGGGGGGAGAAGGAAGTGAATAATAGCAGAAGGAGCAAATCTACATTGTTGGATGTTTTCTTGTCAGGAAAGCAGTTAATACGGGTCCACATAGTGTCTAAAACACTGCACAAAACATATCTTTCTTACCAGACACCATGCATACCCTGTACAAATGAAAGAGAGTGCAGCGTACAGTCTGGTAAACAGAAATCCTTACAATGAAAGGTGTAGCACTCTTCTGCCTTTTTCAATATGTTTGGTTAACACAAAATTAAAAGTTATTCATATTAGGACTGAAAATTTGAAGCCTATCTTAATTGTTTGTATTGTAGCAGAAAGCAAATTTCTACTAAAATGTTACTGTTTCTTGGGCCTAATGAACACAAACAGAGTTCAGCTTTGATATTTGCTGTCTTTTGAAGATAAATTGCTGAGTAAGCAAAATTTTATCTTTCCCATATATAAAACAAAAAAATTTGAAAATCTCTCAGTAGTGTTTGTCATCACACTCCCATGTTAGCATGATTCTGATCATTTGCAAAACAGATACTGGTCTCTGCTGATATTAATTATAATTCTGCTGATCATCCAGTCATTAGCAAATCTCTTTCAGCTTAGTCAGCATCTCCACAATGACTCACTGTAAGTAGTATATTGACTCAGTAGGAAGTGAACTCATCATCTTGGTCAGGGAAGATCTGACAAAAAATCTAGCAGCAGGTTTTGTTTTTACCTTTCCTTGTCGCCCTTTCCCCAACCTCACTCGCATTATGACTTAGCAATAACTGGAAACTTTTCTGTTATAGAATGAAGACACGTCTGTACCTTTACTCCTGTTTTCTGTATATGTTTTTTATTTAATTTACTTAATTGTGTGACATCAGTTCTGCTGTTCAGATGTTTACCAACAGGTGTCAGCAGAACCTCAGTCTTGTGCTACGATGAGCGTGTGCTGAGGTGTACAAATAACTCCAGTTTCAGAGGAATGTGACTCTCAAATTGTCTGCCCTGATGGGTTTCTATTTTGGAAGCACTGACTCAAGAGCCTAAGTCCTGTTGATTTTCAGTGATCCCTTGATTCCTAAATTATGTTCATCTAGCCTACACATTAATTATGATCATTTTGTATTGTTAATGGGTAATTAAAGGATTGCTTGGTTTTGAGATGAACTATAAAGTGGCTTACATAATAAAATATTATTTTATTATCTCAGTCACAGAAACATCTACATGACGTAGGTCTGGTCAACATTTGAATGTACAATCAAGCAAAACAATATTTCATTGTGGCAAACTTCACTGTAGGCCGTGGGATAGGATGGGTTCATTGAAGTCAGTGCCACACTGCAGAACCGTCCTCTAGCTTTCCCTAGGTATGTGCATTGGTGTGCTTACATGTGCTTACACGGCTGTGGAGTCAGTTCAGTGATGTAGTGATGTCCACAAAGCATTAGCATGGCATTGCAATTACAAAGTGGTATTAAAAGGTATTTCATCAGGCAGGCAATCTAAACCAACATACCTAAACTGTTGTAGGAGGATGAAAATGGAGATTATAGTATAAATACACCCAATCCAAAATCACTTTTCTATGAAGGAACTTTTTCAGACAGATGAGAGTTAAGGTCCACCTTTTCCTTGTGCAGTGACCTGAGGTGAAGAACGAATAAAATTCTGATAGTAGACAAGACTGATGACTCTTTATTATTATTATTAAATATAATAATATTTACTCTGCCAAAAACCAGAGATCACATAGTAAAATCTGTGCTCTTGTGTCCTTGGGTAGACAGTAAATACTCATGTCTCACTGCATGTGGTGTGCTTGGGTTGTTTAATAAGTTTTCACAAAGACCTTCACTATTTGCAAGATTTGTAGGTCTGGTGCCTACTTATGCACCAAATCACTGTGTTCCTGATACTTAGATTATACTTACTTCAGCATTTCTGGAAATTAATCCTAATCTTATACAATTCAGCTGGGACTCCTGGCTCAAGTATTTTGCCAAATTTTTCTTAAGAAGGCTCTTGCACAAGAAAAGTCAGAAGGAGTTGAACTTTTTTTACTACACAGTATTTTATTACCATACTGGGGAGAAGGGTGTGACATAGAGACCAACAAAGTCAACAGAGGTTTTTCTGTCTACTTTTTCCCCACACCTATTTCACTGAATCTTGAATCAATCCTTCCTCCACCTCCTCCCACCAAATATCACTCTGAAAAAAATAATTATCTTTACAAATATAATTTTCTATCTAAAGAAAATATCTTCATTCTTTTGTGTGGAATGGTAGAAAATACATATTAATAAAATGG